TTACCCCATTGAAATATTAAGCACAGAAGGGGTGGCACACAATGTTCATTCTCTACACATTGTCTTAAAGGAGGCAGCTCAGACTAAGTAAAAAAAAATAAAGCTAATTTATAAATAGGAAAAAAAAAAAAGAGAGAGCAAGACAGCATGGAACTCTAAATGCAGGCTAGACACATGCAGAGTGACAGGGTTAGAAAGGTTAAGCTCTGAGTGATGAGCATAGCTCAGCTGAAAGGACAGAAAAAGCCACAAGTTGAGACATTTCCCTTGGTAATTACAAAGGAAGCAGAAAAAAAATCCCTATCCCAAATAATGCAAAGAAATGACAAGGCATTCCCCAAAGCTGTCAGAGTGCTCATCCTTAGTACATGAGGGCAAGAAGGTCTCTCTAGTAATGAAGAATTAGGCCGAGGAAGCAACTTTGGCTATCAGCTCCACCCATAATTCCTAGGCAGCATCCCACAAAGTGATCAGCCACGAGGGCCCTTGGTGTTTTTACAACAATCTGCTTGTTTCTCACTTGAGGCCCCACTTCTGTCATTGCTGAAACTCTCTCAACTCTGCTTAGTAATTTCCCCACTGAGGGAAAAGACAGCATTACAGATGTTTCTATAAAAAGTTCGTGAAGTATCTTCCAATGGACTCTGAAGTTTTTATTTACTTGCCAGCAGATATATCCTTCCTAGTTTTAGATTACAGGAGGGAAAGAAAACAGTGATTGTTGGCTGTGTGTAGCCATAATCCTGCTAGTCCAAAAACTGGACAGGGAAACCCAGCTGAAAGATGGTTTACTCATTCAAGGAAGCCTCATCAGCATCCTGGGGCAACACTAGCTTGAACCAAATAATTAACTTAATATTCTAAGTGCCCAATTACTACTTAAAATAGACTTCAGCTGCCAGACTCAGCCAAAGCACAGCCAGCTCAATGCAGACAGGATCTGAACACTGAGGGAAAGGAAACACTGCAGGACTGACAGAACCATAACTTCTATTTTATTAAAGCTTATTTCCCTTCACTTGGAGGAGCATCCTACAGCATAGCAACAGGGTGCCAGAGGAAGGCACCAAGCAAAGGCTTGGAGCCAGCTCTGCCCTCAGCAGCAAGGTGGGCAGTCAGAGCCGGGGCAGTTTGGTTATGGTTCCAGAAGGGGGTGGCCAGCAGTGCTCCTGCCCTGGCACATGGAGAGTTGTGACCACAAGGGATTGGTCACCTGCAAGGCACTAGGAGATCACTCTGAAAGCACCTGAAAGTCCTGGGTCTGACCTCGGGGGTAGCAAAGAGAATCCTCTCAGTAGCTGAGAAGCATTGACACTCAGTGTAGAAAAGTTGTGAAGTCCACACCAGCTCCCTATTGCCACCAAACACCAGGTCCCAGATGCTTCAGCTTCGTGACTGGGATCTGACTGCTTTGACATTAAAAACCAGCCAAGAAAGGTGGTCAGCAAGGGGAGAGGGCAAAACCTTACTCCAGGAGTCTGCAGCTTTCTCTAGCCAGCAAGGGGGTTTGTGAGGTGGGGGACACAATGACATCTTTGGGGAGAAACATACTCCAACTGGTTTTATAAGCCACATCAGGATTAGCAGATATCTCAAGGGTTAATTAGTTTACCATGCACAGATGGTAGCTGGTAGGGTTTGCAGAATGGATTAACCTAATCTGTTGCTTGTAATGTACCATACAAATATCCATTCCTAGACTTGCAGCAATTCTACCCTTATTTCAATTTGAGGACAGAAAAACCACACAATGGATGCCAGCATAGAAATAATACCTATTTTGAGTGACAAATGAGTAGCTGTTCACTTGGCTAATTCAATTGACGAACTGGAGTTTGAAAAGTAATTCCTTCCCATTTTGCTGCAGAGGGTCTTTGGGTGGACCAAGAAGAGACCATTTGTTGCAAGTGTACAGAATATGCCCATGTAACCACTCCTCACAGTTGTACTGAGGGCTCTCCAGCACTGACAGATGGTCAGAGAGCAACAATTCAATTGCCTGGAAACATGAAGGCAGCTTTCTGAGCAGCTCTGCAATGTGTCAAATAAAGCCCCCCAAGTCCAAGGTACCAGCACATGTGGCATTTCAGGCCACAGCAAACATCCGTGCCTTCACAGAGCCCCAGGTCTCTGAGCTGGCTGCAGGTTAAAGCATTTATAATTAAATCACATCCAAGCAAAGGACTGTGTGTTTACACAGCCCTTTGCACAAGAGGAAGCCTGGCTCAGGGCTGGCATGCAGAGATGCCCCAGATCAGCATAAGACTCCCTTTTGTTTAGCTAAGGACATGCCACGCTATTGCATTTGGTTCAGAAGGTCTCAAATGTTTACAACCAGCATCAACTGCAGCAGTAAATGTTTCCATAACTCCTATTAAACTCTGAACTTCTCCAGTTTCTCCCTGCTCTAAGGGGTGAGCAGAGGACTAGCTAGACACCCACTCTGGCAAGGCAGAGGTCAGGGTAGAGGTGATGTTGGCTGTCTGAGGCATTCTCTGAATGTTTCTGCAATCGGCCATGCTCGTATCATGCCTGCACATGCCTGAGACACAGCAGCTGTGGGATTCCTGCTGGACAGTGTGGGACAGCTGTGCTCACACCCAGCAGCCTCCTCCCAGCACATCTTTGGTCAAGACACAGGATGTTCATAAGGTCTCATTTGTTGGGAGGTGCTTGCATTTAAAAATGCCTATTCGTCTCTTGTTTAAAGATGCAGTAGTTCCATGGTCTGCACCTACAGAAGAAACTGTATTTCAAAGCCATTTGTTATCTTAAAAGACCATCACAGCAATCCTGAAAATCTGTGCTTATTTACCCCATCCCTTTTTCAAGTGTCATAAAGCTGATCTTTGTTAGAGGCTGTAACTGGCAATGCCCTTGGCATATTCCTTTGCTCATTGCGTGCACGCTCCCACAACATCCAGCTCCAAACAGAAGGAAGCATTCCTCTGCCATTCGAAAATCAAGCAAGGAGATGGCTGAGAACAGAGTCCCTTTATGCAGCTCAATTTGTTGTAGCGCTGCTTCACATTCCTCTCTGTATGGGGTGAGTGGAGAAAGAGTGTCCCTCAGCTCCACTGTTCCCAAGCCCTGGCTGCACAAACAGCCCAGCACCAAAAAGGAAAGAAGCAGCAGCAGGAGATCTGGCAGCACGAGGAGCTGGCACAGCCAAAGGAGGGAGCCCAACCTGAGTGCCCCTCGCAGGGATGAATGACCACGTCACTTGGGATCCTCAGGGCAGGGGGCCAAAGAGTCCAGCAGGGGAGAGCATCCACAAATGGCATCTCAGCTACATTGACTCAATTGCTTTTCTCATGATGTCATGGCAGATCAGCTCCAACTTGTCCCCAGAGCCACAGGAATGGAGAGGCAGCAGTTTCCTTCCACTCCCAAAGCAGTTCTTCACATCTCTTGCACATGAATTGCAGTACTCTTTCATGTAAACTGGTGCACTGAGCCCAAAGCTCTCTGTGTCTCCTAATGCTGTTCCAGGTCAGTGCTAAATCAGGTTGCCCCAGAGACTTCAGCAACGTTTTTCAAAGATTTTTACATGGCCCAAAACTCCCCAGTGCTCAGGATGTGGCACTGAGCCAGGAACTCCCACACTCAGCTCTGCCCTCTACCAAGTCACTTGGACTTTTTTATTTATGGTCAACCCCTCTAGAGAAGGCACTGCTGCCAACTTAATTCACAGGCTGTTGTGAACACACACACACACACACACACACACACACACACACACACACACTTTCTTTAATATTACATTTAAGAAGTCCTAGAAGTGCAACTCAGACAGGAGCTTTGCAGGAGATTAAGAAGACCAAGCATGCCCTAATTTATTTGTGGCACCAGCACCTTGTACCATGCTTGCCTCTTCACTACCACACCCCACCTCAGGGAAATTCAAGGAAAGGTACCAAAAGTACTGGCCTGCAAAGGCAGCTGCCAATTGATACCCAGGCCACTGGGGTTAAGCAACAGCTTCTCTTTAGTGCATCACTTAGCTTATTACAGGATGGCAGCTTAAAAGCCCTCATAATTATCCAACAAATCAATCTAGACAGTGATACTCATTGCAGTCCAGTATGTTACATTCATCTTCCCTTCTCTTCCAGAGACTAAGCCACTGCAGTGTTTCTTTATCATATAAAAAGCAGGAAGAAAAAAAAATCCTCCTCTCCCTGCACACAGGCCAGAGTTTTCCAGGAGTCAGTATAGCTTTGGAAGGCTTCTCTTTGGATGCTCTGAATGCAATTTGAAGCATCCAAGGTTCCAAACAAAGTCAATGAGAGTTGCAGGTGCTCAATGCTGCTTAGGGAAAAAAAAATTAAGAAATAGAAAGCCCTCACACATCCAGTTCAGAGCAGCCAAACCCAGAGGCCCATAATTGCACATCCCTACTGAAAACACATCTGTAAAAATCACTAAGAGCTACATGGGGAGGGGAAAAATTGGATTTATATAGTTTCAAATCAGGGTTTTATAGGACATTTCGATCCAGGATTTTAAGAACAAAACACTGAGCTACAGCCTTTGAGGCAGCCCAAACCCAGACACAAGCATTGAGAACATTTTGCATCAGAAGCCTCACCAGAGCATTTTGGAAAGGTACAACAAAAGATTCAAATTAGCACAGGAAAATATATCCTTCCCCTCCAGAAAAGAACCCCAACTCTGACTCTGCACTTTGACCATTTACAATGAAAAATAAAGAAATGTAATACAATTATCATTACACATTGGAGATTGAGCTGTATAAATGCAGTTAGAGAAGAGCAGTCATTTTAACTGCAGTACTATATAAGGTATATGGTATATATGTATTGATATAGCATACAGATATACACAGTGCAAAGGAAAGAAACTGATGGCAGGATTCAGCAATAAAAAGTTAAACTGCTACACAATTTAATGCCACACAAGATAAACAGAAGGGGAGAAGCAGGGGGTAAGCACCTCTCTAGAATCATGCAGTCCATTAAAAAAGCCTGGTGCCTTACCTGATTTTCTCTTTGAAGATCCATAGTCCCTGAAAAAAAGACAACAACAAATAGACATGGTTAGAGCCGGGAACGGTGGCGAGCGAGTGGGTGCCTCCCAAATTTCCACCCATAAGCCGGAGGGCTGGCGCTGCGCCCTCCCTCCCCGGAGCGGGGCTGAGGGCGGCCGGGCACGGCGGGGCCGGGCAGCACCGGCCGGGCGCTGCCGCAGCTCCGGGGGCTCGGGAGCATGTGATCAGCCCGGCAGAGCGAACCATCCACGGCCAGCGAGGCAGCGGAGAGGGGTGTCATTTTTTCCCCCTTTAAATTGTGCTGTTAAATGCACCGCTGCTGGGTTAACCCTTCGCGTCCCCCCGGAGAGGAGCGGGGAGTGTTTGCTGCAGGGATGCGGCTGCTCCGGGCTGGGCTGGCGAGGCTGCCAGTCCCGAGGCTAATTAATTTGTGAATAACCTCCAGCCCTCTCCTAGTTATCTCTGACAAGCACTTGGAAAGCACAAGGAAAAAAACCAAAAACCGAACAAACCCCAAACTTTATCTTTTCTCCTTTCTTCCAGGATAGAACATGCACCCTTACTTTTCCATAGTTATTTAAAGGGTGCTGGCACCTTTACCCATGCAGAACAGCCGAAACCCCACACAGCTGCTACGGGAGGGGAAGAAATTGCAGAAGGAGCTGCAAGAACTGATTCGGGATAAGCAGAACTGAGGACAAAAATACTTGGCTTATGGCTGTGCTTGCTCCCGGAGCCTGTGAGCCCCAGCCCTGGCATGGTCAGCACGGACAGGGGCAGTGCAGGCACAGTGCCCCGGGCACAGCTCATGCTGGCAAAGCCACCCCATGGCAGGTAATCCCACCAGAGGGGCAGGCAGGAGTATCTGCATTTTGGGGTGCTGGGCTGCCAGAAGTGGGGTTTTGTCTCTTGCACCTTGCTCCATCCTTCAGAGGATCAGAGGGATTATCCCAAACTGTTTATTTAAAGAGAGTTTGGGGGCTCAGCTGAAGAGCCCCCAGAGCTGTCTTGAGGGCACAGTTATGTCTACCTGTAAATTCTGTTTCTCCCAGAATTGTGTGTGCATGCCCGTGCCTTTAATGCCTAGAATTTGTGTCCAGTGAGTAATAATTGGGAATTTTTTTGCACCCTCTTTTAATTTCCCAGTGTAATTTCTACTTCAATTAAATGGTTGTTTTTCTCAGCCATATCTGCAGCTGTATTTGATGTGATGATGCTACTGCTCATGAATAAGTTGCTTCTTCTACAGAAGTGATATCATATGCAAATACAATTCCTGCTATATATTGTCTGAAACAGAGATCCCTCAGACCAAGCCGGATGGTACAATTCCCAAAATGTAGTCCTCTACCCCAGCTTGGCTCTCACGCCAGTCTGGAGCTTTGTGGAGCTGTCAATACAACTTTCCTGGCATGCAAAACTCAATTCTCATCATTAGAAATGAGGTAATGATTGATTGTTAGTAAAATTAATTAATTTATCATTATAAAACAGTTATTTGCATCACTACCACCACCCAATTCACAAGGCTTAATGAAAAAAAGGAAAAGCCAAACAACCTGTGGGGCTAGCTTTCCTCTTTTCATTTAGTCTTTCTGTAAGTTTTAAAGTCAACTTTAATTGGGTTCTGATTTTGGAGTTCCTGAAAAAAAACCCCAGGTACCCTGTGTCTCCCTATCTTGTTACTTTTATGTACACCCACATTTCACTCATTAAGTCAGGGGAAAGCAATATCAAATAAAATGAAGCTTGAAATAAAATCTTCATCTCCACAGTGAAACTCTGAAATCCAAAACTTGTTCCTCCCAGCAAGGACAGAAAAAAAAAAATAGAAGGCAAAGGAGATATAACAAATAATCTCTCTGGCTGTTTAAAGTGTTCCTTCATATTCTTCACCTCTTTTCTGCTAAAGAAGAAAGCCTGTGTTGGTGCTTTGCAATAGCAGCACCAAGGAGCCCTGCCTGACTCCATGTTTAATTTTTGTAATGTCTTACTATCCTGCATATGATTCATTGATGTATCTTCCCTCTCCCAAGTGATGACATATAAGGGTAATACCTCTCAGCCTCACTGTTTTCAGTGAAGCATTAATGTGAGGCTGAAGTATTGGTTTATGTCTCCAAACCAACAGAGGAAATTATTTAATGGTTTCTCTTAACTGAAACAATTTCCAAGCAGAAACTCTGATCTCCTGCAACCCAGACTGCACCTGGCACACTGTTAACCCTTAGATCAGACAAAAAATGTGGTCTTGCAGAAGAAAAACCCTTCCAAGGAAAGGTACAATCAATGCCTTAGCTGTAGCTATGCAGGGAAGCTCACTTTCTTTTCAGCTCTTGTTCTTTTTATCTTTTCATCTTTATACACACACGTATTTCCATTCTTCTTCCATTTCTATATGAGAACAGACACCACCATCCTGACTCCACTGCCAACCATAGCTACAAGAATAACAATGAAAGCAGCGGGTGGAACTAAAAGTAGATCTGGCAGGTCTCTTCATCATCCAGGATCACTCCATACTGAACAAACACCTATCTCAAAAGTAGCATATTTCTAGCCTTTTTTGAATTATAATCTAGCAATTTTGTTTAAAGTCTTCCTGTGGGGCACCACCTTTAGCTGATGATGAGCCTCATTACTGGCAAGGAAAATATTTCCTGCTGCTAATGGTATTAAAACATAGCTGGTGCCAAGCACATCCCACAAGACTCTCCTTCAATGACAAAGGAGAGGGAAGCTGGATCTCCTTTCTCATCAGCATTACCCCAGGATAACATTACTAATTTGAAATCTAGCAATGAATGTGAAAGGAGGACCACGAACATTGCTGTAAAGCTGACTGCCTTGTTAGCACATCAAACTATCCACAGTCTGGAAATTTCTGAATCATAAAAAGATCTTATGTTGAATTAATATGTCACTTGCAATCTAATTTAAATATGAAGGTTGTATTAACAATGTTATGGAAAAGTTTTATGGCACATCTTTGGGGACTGACTTTGCTGCTGTATTCAGTGAAAGTTAATAAACATTGATGTGTGTGCACATGTTTTGATCTATCTAAATACATACAGATACACACAAACAGTGGCACTATCAGAAAGTTGTTTAAAAAGTGAGGAGAATCCTGACATTTGTTCAATAGAGATTAAGAAATCTCCAAGTGGAGAAGACTGGAGGTGACTAGGAGCATTGGCGACAGTTGTGCCTATCTATTTTCTAATTCACTTTGATTTATATCTGTCCCAGAGCATTTCTCCTGCATTGCCTGTGGAGATCTGGCAAGTCTGCAGAAGCCTCCTGCAGGACCAGCTTCCCTTGGAGATGATGGGTTCAGTCAGGGGACCTCATCCCTGTGGGACCCGTGGTTCAAAGGCTCTTTTGAAAGCTTCTCCCGCTTGCTGTGGGACAGCAGACCCACAAAGTTCACTCTCTGGGATTCCTCCTTTCCCAGATACGTCACACTTCAGCCTGGGGCCTCTGCCTGTCAGTAAAGCAAGGCTTGGCTTCAACTCATTTAGCAAAGATTTCAGACAACCATGAGTTTCAGCTATGAGGGAAAACAGTGCCTGCAAAGCACGAGGAGCTGCCAGACCCACGGAGCAGCGCGGCTGGGGGAGCTGCACAGCAGACATTGCAGCAGACGAGACAGAAGCTAAAGGGGGAGTAAATCATCTTCCTGTCTCTTTCTCAGTGTTTGCTGTCCAAAGGAGATGAGACAGTGACAAACCCTGAGTAATGGAGGTCAGCCTGTATCCTCGAGAGTGTTTTAATACATAAATTGAAATTGTTCTGTATTTGTTGGCTTTTGCTAATTCATGCTTAAATACATTGTAGTCATTTCTGTTCCCAGGCTCCTGAATTCCTAAAAGTCTCTAGTGGTGTGGGCAGACTGTGGTGGAGATATATGACATTTCAAGCAAACAACTCAGATTATCATTTAATCACCAATGATTTGCCAGGCAGATTAAAAGCACAGAAATACTTTTACAAGGAATTTCACTCTCTCCTTCCCAACACTAAAGTTTGCAGTCAGTAACGAAGACGGCTTTTTCACAAACTATTTTTCTTAGCACTGCTATCAGATTCTGTGACACTATTTTTAAAGTAAAGCACTACAAAAATACTTTGCTACTAGTCTTTACGTGCACAGAAACTTGAGCCTCGAGAATATATTTGCATCTTGAAATGCTCCTGATTTTCACCAACAGCCAGACGGACATTTTCTATTTGAGACAAGGCCAAAACCAAGCGTGACTGAGAACTGGCACCTGCCTGTCACCAAGGACTGTGGTTGGAGGAGCATCTAACACCTCAATATTATCCAAACACACAGGAGCTATATGGAGAGTGCAGGGTTGAAATTCATACTCATGGTACTCAGAGTGCAAAAGCTGAACCATATGCATGAAGGTGTCTCCATGCCCATTGAGCTCTGAGACCCATATGACATGTAATTAAGCAAAATTAACTCTGTATGTTATGCATTGAGAATAGAAACTCAAACAGATGGATGCACACAGCTATGCATTTCCCCCCTACAGCATTCCATCCTCTGATATCATGAAACCACAGCTGATCTCTTCCCTAAGCCAAAGAAACAGATGAAGGCTTTTTTCCTTCTTCTTCTTCTTCATGTTTTTTTTTTGAAAGTATTCTGTTCATTTCCTGATATAAATCGTTGCATTGTGGAACCCTCTCCAACATGAATCTGTCCTTTCTGAGCAGAGCTCGAGCTTTCCAGCCCTGTGAGAAAGGGCCCCATTGTGGTGGTCCCAAGACTCCAGAATTCCTTGCCGCAAGCAGAAGGGACTGGTGGGGCAAGAAGAGAATCTGTCAACCTGACTTCCAACCCAGGCATTTCTCACTGGCTGGACATGGCCTCTGCTGCTGCTGAGAAGGGTAAACCACTGTTGTGCAATCACATCCTTAAAAGAAAAGGGACAAAACAAAAGAGAGGATTTTGCCTTCCTGTCACCTTCCTGTTGTCTTCACAGCGTGTCTGCAGAGCAGAC